TGCATACATACAAATGACATTCAAAGTGACAAAAAAAAAAGAAAAAAAAAACATCCTGTACATTAGATCGTTAAATTACTTTATTTTTGATCTCATCATCAAAATTTTTACAAAACATTTTTTTTCTGACAATAATATACTCAAAGAAGAGCCACATTTTTGCATTTGGAGCAGGTCTTCACAAAACTGTTTTCAGTCTGCATACAGACGAAAACAAAAGAAAACAACAGCAAACTAACAGAAGGGTTATAACAATGCATATTTACATCCCACAGAAAAACGATAACTCATAGCCTGAGACCAGGCAAAGCCAGAGAAACCTGATTTTCATGGAAGTTAATGGGCCTACAGAGGATGAAGTGGAAGGTTAAAATGCAGGGGGAGAATACAAATGAGAGACAATATTGCTTTTAATTGTGTTTTTGCCCTATGTAATCCATTAATAGATTGAGTGGGGGGAAATGAATCAGAACCAAAAAGCCAAAATTCACTTGAATCATTAGTTTGACTTCTCCATAAATCATCGCGGCCAGATCGTTGCTATCTACACAGTTTCTATAGCTCTTGTATAAAACTGTATTTCAATTGAAAGAACGGTGTTTGAGGTCTCATCTTCTTTCCTACAAAGCGGCTCTGCTTTAAAAAATGGAACAAAACATCCGACTCAAAATGTTATGCTGAGGAACCTTGAACATGCTGGATGGGTTTGCAGACAGCCAGCTAACAGACGTCATTTTAACAAAAGCGTTTTTTTTTGCTGTTGATACATCAAAGCTTCAGGTAACAGTGAAAACGGATACATGGGAGCTACTGTGACAAGTAGGCCTACTGTATACAAGTCAAAATATGAATCAAACGTCTGTCTATATCAGATGCTTTTTCCAGCAGATGACACTCAAAAGCACTAGAGCTATAACTGCAACTCAAAATCAGCATGAAATACATAAAGCAATAAGCTTTAGTCGATGCAATACTGAAACGGTCACAAACAAAAACAGGGCTGTTTGAGATGGCTGTACAGTCAGTTCAAGTTCTGTCAGTCATTCACACAATGAAACATTTATATTTCCAGAAATGTTCAATGATAAAAAGACTCCAGAAAACATGGGCTCATGAAAAATAGATGATATCAGACCAGCAGGACACACTGAACAGACCGTACTTCCATCCCTCCATCCTGTTCGCATTTTCCCTGCCTAATTTTTGTAATTTCCTGTTCATTGATTATAATACGTTCAGGTCGGAGTGAGTTTTGTCCCACAGAGCTGCATTATGACCAATTTTATATTAGTAATGAATGCCTTTTTTAGCATTTCAGAGGAAATTGTGTCTCTGTTCCAAAACATAGCACGCTGCCTACGTTGGCAGCATTTTAAGGCATTATTGGCATGTTCCCCATTTAAAAGCGTTCCAAAAGGTAGGCAGCACGATTAAGCTGCCTTCTACAATATCTACTTTTGGCCAATTCAATTCAAAATGGCAGATTCACAGGCCTTCTTTGCATAGAAGACAATCCCACGATGCATTGCGATCAGCTTACCTAAAATATAAAAAAAAAAATACTTGTTGAATACTTGTAAAACTGATGATTATGAGTACAATTTAATGTTCTATACATAATATTCTACATATAATAGTCTACTTGGTTATATAAATTGGCATGTGTGCCCCAGAAAATCTGATTCATTTCAGTGAATCAGTTTATTCAGATTGTTCACAAAAAAGTTTCATAGATTAATTTAAATCCATTTTCTTTTTATTTAGTGATCACTATGTTTTTTACTTGATTATATAAATTTGCTTGTGGGCTCATACCATAGAGTTGGGAATCAGATTCATTTATGTGAATCTGTTCATTCAGATGGTTAATTTGAATAAACTGTTTAAAAAATACTTATGGATTTTTCTTAATCCCCCATTCCTTTTTTTTATAATAGTGATCACTATGTGTTATAGAGATCACTTGGTTATATGGATTTGCACTTGTGAAATCTGAAATCTGATTCATTTGAGTAAATATGTTAATTCAAATGGCTCATTTAAATGAACTGGATCAAACTTTTTGTTTAAATTATTTGGCAGTGATCACAATGTTTTCTACTTGGTAATATAAATTAACTAACTTTGAGTTGGGAAATCAGATTCATTTATGTGAATCTGTTTATTCAGATGGTTCAGAAAAGATTTGTAGATTCATCCAAACCCTTCCATCTTTTTTTCCAAGTATGTTTTCTGCAGTATTTGGTTATTTGAATTTGAATTTTATTTGAGTTGGGAATTCTGATTCACTGGAATTAATCTGTTCACTCAGATGATTCACTTAAATGAACTAGTTCAATAAAGATTCAGATTTGTGTTAGTATTATGTAGTGTAGCTTTTTTTTAAAACGAGTAGCTCATAACTAGTCAAGTTTAGACAAGTTATAGAATATTTTACCCCAAATTAGTGTGCCGTGTTTTCATGTTTACTAAAATACTGTGTTGTTAGCTTAGCAACATGCTAACGCTCATGTAAAATGTGGATGTTTCTATGTAGAGCGTTCCAAATTGGCCACTTCTGTTGATTCATGCTGGTTAGGATGCTGTCTATGTAGGTGGCGAGGCAACTCGCTAGATTTTGGAACAGATCCTTTGGCTCTTTGGCCCCATTTTCACACCCGGCCGTTCTGTCCAACATTCACTTGCTAAACTACGACACTTGATGTGTAGATAGTTTGTGGGCTAGAGCTCTGGTTGAATGTGGCAGATTTAGTAGACAGAGAATAAGTATGGTGACAGAGCCAAGTCCACAATAGCAGCAGATGTTAGCCCCATGGGCCAACCCCTGCACACTGACAACAGCGCTACCTCTCAGCCATGTGCAAGCCTGGAGATAAGCGAAGAGTTTTTTCTCCTCCAATTTCTGCACAGATGAGCAGATGTATGTTTGTGTGTGTCGTATATAGCTCCTTTCACCAAGACTTTTGTTCCAATATGTATATGGCTGCGCAGCAGAGAAGAAAACGGCCAGTGAGCTGAAATTCCTTCCCTCTGACTTTCTTTCTTCTTCCTGTCCTTCTGGATATTTGCATTAGACACTCATTTGAGAGTCAACACAGAAATATAAAAGTCTTTTATGTTCCTTTAAATCCTACCCTTGAGGAAAAATGTGTTCCCAGAACACACTGGGGCTCCAAATCACAAGGGGAAAAAGAATGACCAAAACAAACAAACGGGAGGGAAACTCAGGGAAGCTGTGATTTTTTTTGTTTTCCTTTTGAAGCTCTAATTTCACTTTTATGTGAATGGACTGTATTGGTACATCCTTTGTATGGAAAGTGCTCTCTGAATATTAGCGAATTACGCCTACTGCTGTTAGAGAACATCCTTTGCGGACAAAGACGAATTAATTGGAAATTTGCATTTAGCTTGTTCGTTCTCTGCAGCTTAATAACACCTGCTTGGATATTTCCAGGAAAAACTCCTGGAAGTGTTTTGGTTTGTAAACATTAACACAGGTTTGATTTAACCCCCCTCTTGTCGAATGAAACTGTGCCCACCTATGATCCTTGTGCCAAATTGAAATTTGATTGCATTGAAATCCATTAATAATTCATGGATTCTTGATTAGGGATTATTCACATTAAGCAGAATGTGTGTTTTTTTCTGCTTGTAAAGTGTATTATGATTACAGATTTGAATAAAAAGTATTTGTGTAAAAAGGTACATTTTAAGGTTTATTTTGTATTTCACAAATAAATGACTAACATTAAAAATCACTGCTTCACAGAAAGTGCAAGGCACTACATTTTTTTTTTTAAATGTCAAATATTTTGGGGTCAAATATTATTCATAAATTAAAGGTATACATTTAAAAAAAAAAAAAATTCCAATATTTGTGGTCTGTCCAATTTTGTAATGATTTTGAAGTCACTTAGGCTGCATTAAAAAAATAAAATAAAATAAAGCAAACTAGTAACATTGTGAAATATTATTACAATTTTAAATAACGGTGTTCAGTTTGAAATTATTTTAAATGTATAGTTTATTCCTGCACTGTAAAAAATGACCGTGAATTTAACGGTAAAAGACTGTAAAAATTAAAACCGTATTTTTTACGGTAAAATTCCGGCAACCACAGCTGTGTGATGGCAACAATGAATTTTCTGCAGCTATTACTCCAGTCTTCAAGTCTGATTTTGTTGCTTCATTAATTTGTTGATTAATAGAAAAATGAAAAGATAAAATTATTAATCATGTGCCAAATCTGACAACAGATTTTTTAAAATAGGTATCTTCATACGATAAATTATTATTATTATTTTTTAGAATTGTGTTAAGACATTGTCACAAAGCCAGATTTCAATACCAAAAATGTTCATATTTCTAATGTATTGTTTTTACCAAAAATGAACAAGACAATAGGAGGGTTAAAAACATAAATGGCAAAATGTGAATGACAAGCAAAGAGAAGATGCAGGGGCGTCCTCAGCCTTACGTAAATGACCGTAAAGCAGCAAATTGTCAGAATAATGGGAAGAGACAGTTACATAAGGCGTCATGATTTGGCGACTTTGTGGAGGAGGAGAATCGTTGCTTTGAATGACGGTTTAAGAGCTTAGATTATCTAGTCAAGGTAACTCATCCAAATAGTGATAGGATCAGATGCTTTCATATGCATTCCTTGTTTTAAAGCAGAAAACTGATGAAATTTTGCGGTTCTGAATAAATAAGTATGTGCTAAGTATATTATCCAGACTGAAAAAGCAGAGAGTCCCAAACAGGAGGTCTATAATGCATGGAGAACATTATATAAAATAATTTAGTTTCAATTAGAATAATTAGAATGAAATATTCTAGTTTCCCCTGAACAACAATCTGACTTTGCCTTTTCAAATTCAGGACACAGAAAGTAGTATGGATTTTCTGCAACACTGCCATTGAGCTAATGCCTTGCTGTAAGGAGCGTTTTATGAGGCTGTAAAGTTCTTGCGACTTACTCAGAATTGAAATGTGGTGGGCAGGTAACCATATTAGCATTTACTTAACAACATCAAGCCTATACTTGATACATCATGCATGAAGCCTCGGAGCAAAGTACAAGCCACTCTCATTGAACAAGTAGATATTATTTTGCCTGGGTGTCTCGGAAATACAAACTGAGGAGAAAGAGAGAGAGAGAGAGAGAGAGCATCACAACGGTTAGGGCATATAGCAGAATCAAAGTATATATGACATTAAATGAGCACTGATATCAATCTTTCTATTCCCAAACAGATGTCAGCAGTAAAGTGATACGAAGAAAATGAAAATCTATGATGCTAATGAGATGAGGAACCGAATGAATAGGCAGATAGAAAAATATCAATCTTCCAAATGAGGGGTCATATCGAGTCTCTCTAGAAGCATATTCTTTGATCAGGGTGCGCGTTTAAACAGCGGAGGCTTCGGTCTTTTTCACAAAACTTGTGTCAAAAGAAGCAAAACAATATGTTTCTTTATACTCTCTATTTACAAGATAAACATACGAAGATAACTGGTGCCGGAAACCGTCAGGACACGTTTCAAAATGTCTTTGATCGTCTTGACAGCGTCACTTCTCTTGAAGAGATTGAGACATGACAGTGTGAAATCCGTTTCTTACCTCGCCAGCACATTTCCTGTGACGTCATTGCGTTTTATCATTATTGTCCGTTATAAACATGCCAGCGTAGAATTCTGGAGGGGCCAAAGCAGTTATCGTGGCTCCTGAGGAGACGGGTGATGTTCCGTCATTGTTCCGGAGGCCATGAACAGGTTGAAATTTGCAATATCCACACTGACTGTTAGTGAGGTACCATGTCCACATTCATTGTGTGAAGTCCAAACGCACAGGCACACAGGGTGAAAAAAAAAAAATCTGTGTTTACAGGCAATAATTCCATATTCTCAAAGTCCTTTGAAGGTTGAAAGTAAGAAAAACCAAACAGAACATTTATGCGATTGGACAATGGCGAGAGTTTCTTGAACAAAATGCTTTGCTGAACTACGGTGAGTGAATACAGAATCAGTGAAATGTGACTAATGGATGACCACAGAAGTCTATTAGACTAGTAATAGTCTGATGTTCAAACAAAAAACCACACAGGAGCATCTGGTCTGCCTTAATCTCAACTCAAAATAAAAATGAACAGGCCCTCGAATGACTATGGGAGACCGGAGGCTATTGTAACACTTATTCAGCATATGCTCAGTAGAGATTACTTTCCGCCTGAGGAAAAGCATGATCGTTTGACTTTGTGAGAAATAACATTGATTTTTTTCTTCTGTTGTCTAAAATTATACCTTTAAATAAAAACAAAATAATTATTATTATTTGGAATCATGTTTTCATTACTAAAAATGTATATATTTTATATCTTAATATATATAAAAAATAATAACATTTTAATAAAAACAATTTTCCACTTT